GAGAGAGATAACTAGTGGTATCCTGCAGTAGTCTATGCTAGGGATCATTCTTATTCATCTTATTCATAAATGATTTAGAGAATGGGGTAAACGGGTGGCAAAATTTGCAGATGATACTAAATTGCTAAAGTCCAAAGTAGACTGTGAAGAGCTTCAATGGGATCTCTCAAAACTAGGTGATTGGGCAACAACGTGGCAGATTAATTTTAATGTTGATAAATGCAAAGTAATGTATATTGGAAAACATAATCCCAAGTATATGTACAAAATGATGGGGACTAAATTAGCCATTACCACTCAAAAGAGAGATCTTGGAGTCATTGTGGATAGTTTCCTGAAAACATCCATTCAATATGCAGCAGCCATCAAAAAACAATGTTAGGAATCATTGAAAAAGAGAGAGAGAATAAGACAGAAAATATCTTATTACTTCAATATAAATCCATTGTACACTCATGAATACTCCATGCAGATGTGGGTGCCCCATCTCAAAAAATATATCTTGGCAATGGAAAAAGTTCAGAAATAGGCAACAAAAATGATTAGGGATTTGGAACGGATGTCACGTGTGGAGAAAGTGACAGAGTTTGGTCACTGTGTTTTAATTTAGCAAGATTAACTTCAGGAACAGGAATAAATAATAGAAACATGAATTATAATCTGAAAATCTCAGGAGGGAAGCTTTGTTAGTCTGTAACTTTAAAAGCAAGTAGTCCTGTGGCACCTTAGAGAATAAAATATATAATCTCTATAGTGCCACAGGACTGCTTATTGTTTTTAAAGTTACAGACTAACATGGCTACTCTTCTGAGACAATAACTAGTCACCAAATGAACTTAATAGGTAGCAGGTTTAAAGCAAGCAGAAGGAAGTATTTCTTCACACAACACAGTCAACCTCTGAAACTCCTTGCCAAAATGTTGCGAAGACCAGGAGTTTAACAGGGTTCAAAAAAAGAAATGTATGGAGGATCGGTCCATCGTTGACTATTTGCCAGGATAGGTAGGAATGGTGTCCCTAACCTCTGTTTATCAGAAGCTGAGCATGGGTGACAGGGGTAGGGCAGGGAGGGAAAGACTCCTAGGGTATGTCTACACTTGCACCCTCTTTCGATAGAGGGATGCACATGAAGACATTTGAAATTGCAAATGAAGCCGGGATTTAAATATCCCGCACTTGATTTGCATACTCACATTATGGTGCTATTTCGAAATGGTGCTATTTCAAAATAACAGACGCTGTTAAGACGCGGTTATTTCAAGAGAAAACCCTTCTTTCAAAATAACCGGTAAACCTCATTGTATGAGGAATAAGGATTATTTCGAGAGAAGGATTTTTCTCTCAAAATAACCACGTCTTACCAGCATCTGTTATTCCGAAATAGAGCTATTTCGAAATAGCTCCATCACGTGAGTATGCAAATCAAGCACGGGATATTTAAATCTTGGCTTCATTTGCAATTTTGAATGGCTTCATTTGCATCCCTCTATTGAAAGAGGGTGCAAGTGTAGACATACCCTTATTGAATTCAAGACACTCTGAGATCAGTTTATGCCCTTTGTGTGTGGTCATTTTCACTGTTTCCTCTTTTTAATCAATCAGTTCCCTCTGTCTGCAAGAGTCTTGAATACATAAGGACTCAGACATGTATAGTATCTGAAATTATTTTAGTACATTTAAAAATACATATTACATCTCTCATTCTTGGAGTCCCTTTTAATTGCCTTTTTAGCTTGAAAGATTTACTAAGCCAAATTATGGCCTGCTTAGCATGGCAGTGGTTAAAGACAGGGGTGGGGAGCTATTATTGGGTTGCGGGCTGCTGACCCACAGAAATCAGTTGAGGGCCACGCACAAGTGAGAAGCAAACCAAAAAAAATTAAACTGACATGGTCCCCAACTGAGGAGATAGATGCTCCTCACATTCCTCTCCCACACCACAGCTTAGGGGGACCTAGCCTAATAGATTTTGTGTGCTCCAGCCCCATGGTTGGACAGCAGGAGGTGGGGGCTGGAACACCAGTTTGGGCTCCCCAATGCTGGGAGAGGCCCTGAGCCTTGGGGGCTGCATCCAGCCCCTGGCCTGAGGTTCCCCATGCAAGTTGCCTCCTTTATGGCCCTACACTAGTTACCACATGAAAGCATCTCAGTCAGAAAACAGGTTTCAGAGCTGCTATGCCCTTTCTTCTCACTGGTTAATTGAAGGAGAATGAATAGGATGGGCTTGGGAAAGGAACATTGACTTGGTACACCATCTCACTCTCAAAATGTCAGCTTTCATAAATGTTCAGGATAGGGATGTTGAATAGTCAATTAATCTCATGAATTCTTGTTGATTATTCAACTATTCTATAGTCCCCAGGGATGGGGCTGGCAACCAGTGCGCTCCGGCCCTTCTCCCTTGGCGTCTCTGCCACTCCATTCTGCTGCCTCTGTATCAGAGGCAGCAGTGCGGGGTGGCAGCAGCTCCTGTCCAGTGCTTGCCCGCATGGCTCCTAATACACTTTAAATGCAGAGCTGCGGTAAGGATAGGTCCTGGACCCAGCATGAGCCAGGACTGAGTTGGGCTGCTGGCCATTCTGCTAAACAATTTACTGGCCAGGGGGTGGGAATGCGTGTAGTCTATAGCATTAACCTATAACCTTTTACTAATAGGTTAATTGACTACACAATTACATCCCTAGTTTAGATGCAGTAGATTTTAATTTCTTCCTTGAACTACAGCAGACCTTGGAGTGAGAGATACTCTCTGAGTCAGACACTCTCCTGCGTCGCTCTTGGGGCAGTTCTACAATACACTAGCTCCTTACTCTGGGATTTTTGTAAAGTAACAGTTGAGCACTAAGTCAATTAGATCTTCCTTGGAAAAGTTTTGGAAGAGGAAGTGGACACCTTTTTAAATATAAAAGTCTAAATGTAATTCTTTTATTTACAACTAAAAGACTTACCCGGTGTTGCTTGGGTCCTTCAAGAGCCAGGGCAGGTAGTGGGGGATGTAGAGGGTTGGATGCTGGGGAGCTCAAGGCGGGTGGGTGTAAGATTCAGGGCATGGGGTGGGGGACTCAGGACTGGGAGGCTTGGGGGGGCTTACTAGGGCCACCCACAGCAGCAAGGACAGCATTGCGGTTGCTGGCACCCCTCTCCTCCAGCTCCTCAGTGCCCAACCCTTGGGGTACATCTAGACTACATGCCTCTGGCGACAGAGGCATGTAGATTAGACTACCCGGCATAGGAAAATGAAGCGGCAATTTAAATAATCGCCACTTCATTTAAATTTAAATGGCTGCCACGCTGAGCCGATCAGCTGTTTGTCGGCTCAGCGCGGTAGTCTGGATGCTCCATGGTCGACGTCAAAGGCATTTGTCTTCTCATACCTGGGAGGCCGACAAATGCCTTTGATGTCGACCGCGGAATGTCCAGACTACCGCGCTGAGCCGACAAACAGCTGATCGGCTCAGCGTGGCAGCCATTTAAATTTAAATGAAGTGGTGATTATTTAAATCGCCGCTTCATTTTCCTATGCCGGGTAGTCTAATCTACATGCCTCTGTCGCCAGAGGCATGTAGTCTAGACGTACCCTTGCAGTGCTCCTCTGAAGAGGGAAGGCCTGGTTGCGGTGCTCAGCCCTGGTGATCTTACACTGGCGAGGGTGGGGTGTAGTTGCAGTACCTGGTCCTGGTGGTGATCCTCTGGGGAAGGGATAGAGCTGCATGGCTTCACACCATGCAGCTTATCGGAGGGAGGGGAGGAATGTCGCCGGGGCACTGCTGCCTGGCCCTGGCTTGCAGCTTCTCATGGGGAGGGACAGATCTCTGCTGCCTGGCTCTACTCTGCGGCTCCTCTGAGGCTGCAGAGCTACTGGCTAACAGGGCTACTTACCTGGGCCCATGCCTGGCAACATGAAGAGCCCTGGCCTCTTCCTGGTGCGGCAGCTCCCCCAATGGTTACTCAACAATATAGCTGTCCCCTGCACTAGCTGCTCCCAGGGGTCATTCTGCTGTATAACTGTTCATTTTATCAGCCTTCTCTCTTTCTGTGTTTTGGAAAACAGTCCCATGCCAGTCACATCCCGTTTTCCTGGCACAACTACAACCTGATATTGTTTTAAGTTATGATAAAAGGAAGCTGCATGCCATACTTACCATTTAGAAGGAGTTCTTGAACAGACGGACAACTCAGATGCACAAACTCTCTTAAAATAGATAGATTAGGGATGTTTAAAAGCTCTTTAGTTTATTTTTTTGGTAAATGTGTAGCTGCTGAAAATCTCAGCGGTTACATATTTACACACGGGGGAGGTGACTTTTGAGCCAGTTTCCTGCAAGCACTGGCTCCCATGGAGCCACCTGCCTCCTCCCCTCAGCTCCCATGCACTGTTGCCTGTTTCAGGGAGCAGGCAGGAGTCGTTGCTCGCAGGGAGCCAATTTTTAAGTGCTGCCTTCTCCACGCTTCTGCCTTCACAGTTACACACAAGGGCTGTCCCTGCTGCCTCTGTAAAAGCCAGCTCCCTGAGATAGAGGCAGCAACGTGAGAGGGAGGAGGTGACCATGCCTGTAACCATGAAGGTTAACCATGTACACTATCACATTCCTAAGGTAGACAATTAAAGGTGTGAATTTAATTTCAGAATTATGTTGTGAGCCTTTCTTTATTGGCAAGTATATTCAGATTTATAGATCTATTGCTGATGTTGCACTATAGCTCCTAAACCACTTGCAAGTATAAGTGTGTATAATTTATACAGAATTGTCAAAGTAGTAAACATCACACTAGAGTAATTACAATGCAACTACGGTGTCTAGGAACAATTCTCTTCTGATGAACATGTGGCTTTTATCAAAAATTAATTTTATAATAGACGAACATTTGGTGCTCCAAACTGAATGTCCTTCCAAAGTCTGATATTTTTTCATATTTCCTATCATTTTTAAAAAGGTAGATATACAAAATAATTATGACTAATTTCTTGTTTTTTTTTCTCATAATTTCATTGTATGCAGGCAGCTGAAATCAAAGATACTTCTCAAAGGTGTAAACAAAAACAAGATGCTGTTGAAAAGAAAGACAAACTAGTAAGAGAACCGTAATGTGGGCGAGGGGGTATTCTTATTTGCTGATGCTGTGAATCACTGACATAATACTAAATACATTACATAAAGTTTTCAGGTAAATATTACGGGATTTAATGTTGTGTCCGAGCCACTGTTTGGAATCTTATCAGTGACACCCATATTTTAGCTGATGGTGATGGAAAGTTCATCTGTATAGAAAACAAATAATGTTGCAAGCTGTCTGCATCCTATTTTCCTCTAGGGACCCTCAACTGGTTCATACAGCCCCCTCCCGAGATGCAAATTTGGAGGCAACAGGGACAGAATACCCAGGAGATTCATTGCATCTCTCAGCATCCTCTGCGCTCAGACTTGTGGAGTTCCTTAAATTTGCTTTCCCTTAGAAAATGAAACTTATCAGTAAAACAGAGTACTTTCACAGAACGTTTGTCTTCTCTGAAAAGCTAGATGCAGTGTTTTGTTATAAATAATTTACTTTTTGAATTCAACATGCATATTACAAGCTTCTGATTTTGTTGACTATTTTTACTCCATTGGAATATTTTTCTAGTGCTTACTTACTCTTATCTGCTATAGTTGGATAGCTTGAATCTGACCAGATGAAGAAGCAGAATAGTTGCTTGATTTAGAGAGCTTCTATATATAAAAAAAAGCAAAAAACTGATAAAGCAAGTGGGTAGATGTCTAAGCAGTCAGTCAAGAAATCTGAAAATTAAACATAAGAAGGAGAGTTCATGTTACACATTCCATTCTGTTATGGTAAACTTATGCAATTCTGTACTAATTCTCAAACTGTCTATTAGCATGCAACTTTTACTATAATTACAGATAAAGTATGTTTACAAATCTGTAATAATGTGTTTAAATATTTGGATTGTAATACATTTGTTCTTTAAAACTTCGGCAGAAATTCTAATTATTTTACAAAAAGGCATCAATTTGAGATGTGGGGCAAGGTGGGTTTTTGAGCAAGTATGAGACCTTACATTTTTAAACTTGCTTGGCTACATCAACATTTCAATATCTGTTACAACAATCTTTTGTAACTGTCTTTCGTTGTGCATGCAAAAATTCATTTGTAAATGTCATTCTGGGAAAATATTTGCATTTCTCTTAGATTGAAGAAATTCAGCAAGCATTGAGAATGAAAAAAGATGAAGAAATGGATCGACGAAAAAGAATACACATCACTCGTAAGATGATAGAGGACTGGCAGAATGAGCTTAACAGTACAGAAAACTCTGAGAATCTTCAGCCGCAAATTGATTATATTAACAACGAGCTGAGACAGTTGCAAGAAGAAAAGGCAAATATTGATGGTGAAATGACTGATCTGCGAAGAGAGAGAGAAAACCTAGAGAGAGAAAAGAAAAGTGAGATTTCTAGATTCTTTCCTACTATGGTTACTACATGAAATCCTTTTGTGTTGAAGTTGCTTAATTGTGACACTAAATCATTTCAAATCTTGGTAACTGTATTTTTGTATGTCTCATTATTGTTTTCATCCTTACAAGGCCTGTAAAAGTGGCAGGAATAGCTTATTTTTGAAGGGACACCATTTCCATTTCAAAAAATGATTTCATGTAGCTGCAGTAAACCTGCATTTCACAGATGCTGCCAGTTTGTATGTTTTTTCCAATTATTTGTTGGAAATCCCCATACAAATAAAAGGAAAACCGATGAACTGTACAGGACAAATAGGGAAAATGATTTTTTCAGTCTTGTCAAATTCATAAGTAAACAAAATACAGGCAGCTTTTTAATTAATATTTTTAGCTATTTGTAACATTAAGTAACAATCTTCACAATTGGTCTTTTTATTAAATTGATAATCATTTAAACTAACGCATTAAATGTGGGGTGATGCATGCTTCTATGTGTAAAATGGTGCTATCTTAATGACTGTTTCACCTTCTGTCTTTGTTAGATGAACTTGAAGGCCAGTGTTTTTTATCTTTAATTAATTAGGTTCACTTTTTTATTAGCCTAGCCTTTCATGTTAGTTCTATCTTGATGTAACTTGAAAGGTAGAATTAAAAATTATCCTTTTAGAGCTCGTCTTGATTAACTTATTTCCAAACATTTTTATGTATATGACCTCCATGGGCGTATTGGAATATCTCCCATATATTTATGGATTTATAGTTGTGGCACTGAGGCACAGAGTTACGAAGTGTCCTGCTAAGGTCTAGCAAAACAGGAAATTGAACCCTGTCTCCTGAATCCCAGTCCAGTATTTTAAGCAGAATACTATCTTCCCTCCCCAGTGTTGGAATAATGTAGATCGGAAGCATTTTGTGTATTCTTGCAAGATTTTAGTATCATGGGGGAGACCTCAAGGTCCCTCCCATGAGGAGGTGACAAGAAGAATGTTATTTCTCTGTGTCTTCAGAAGGAGAATGAATTCTCCCTTTTCTCTCTTGAAAATAAACAGAAAAGTACTCCAAAATAGAGGGCTCTTATTCCCTACCTCCTCTAAAAGTATAAAATATTCTTTTTTTTTTTCTAGTAGTGGAAAAGGTAGGGTTAGTTTTGGGGGTTTTTTTCTCTCTTTTTTTTTTTTTTTTTTTTAAGATGGGGCAGTTCAGGATTTTTGGCAATTCTTTACTTGAATGTTTCTTCACCAAGATACGCTAGAATAGATCCATTGCAAAATTTTATGTGAATATTAATATTTATACCTGGACATAGTTAAACTGTTTTGGAGTACATTTTTGTTTATTTCACTTAGCTCTGGGATTTAAAACTTAAAATGTTAATGGAGTATATGCTTTAGAATAGATGGGGGTACTAATTATAAGTGTTTGAAAATAAGAAATGTTTTTCCTAACTTTAATACTGTAGCACTGTAGTTATTAACTATTAGACATCTTTATTGTGTTGTATAGGCATGACTTAATAAAACTTTCTTAAATAAAATTACAGGCGTAACTGATCGCATTGTACAGTTTAATAATATGATGAATCTGAAGGAAGATAAGCTCAGAGGGAGATACAGAGACACATACCATGCTCTTCTGTGGCTAAGGGAGAACAAAGACCAATTTAAAAGAAGTGTTTGTGAACCCATGATGCTTGCAGTAAGAAAAGTTGCTTGAATTTAATACTAATTAGTAGCTAATGATGTTCCTTAAAAAATGAATTTTAGATTGATTATTTCTATTATAAACCTAAAGTCTAGAGGCACACTATTTTATCTACTGTTTTACGAGTTACTAAAACTAGAGTACATGTAAATCACTGTTGCAGATGGTTAAGATGTGTAACATCTCCTGTGAGTAATGTAACAAGTATGAAAGTTTTACTAGACTCCCTTGTACCTTTGTTATGTTAAGTATCATGGAGGAACACAGAATGCTTTCAGCCATCCAACATATAGGGTTGCAGTGGAATTGCCCTTTTTCAAGTTGGCCTCTACACATTTCAGCTGGTGAGATGTATCCTTCTCGTGTTCCTCTGAAATTTGAGCATCTTCTAAAAAAAGCAGTAGCTGTTGGCTTACATGGAAACTTTCTCATAGTTCTGAATATTCAGAGCATAAGTTATAAGAGGACTTTGCTTCCCACCAGTTTCACTTGCTTCTTTCCCACAAATAGCTGCTGGGCCAGAGATAGTCAGTCTGCGCTCAGTCTTGGTTTGTTTCTTGACCAGACTTTCCAATTACTTTTAATGGTAGTCAGTAATGTTTATTTTTATATAGGTTTTAGGGTACTCAAGAATCAGTAACTGAGTTTAACTAAACTTTCTAAACCTGTTCGTGCTGTTTTTTGGAAATGCCAGAAATGGTTTTGCATTATCAGAATCAAATAATATTTTTGTCCTTTTCAGATGATTTGATTCTGCTGGATATAGCACTGTTATATCAAGTTAATCAAAAACATATAGGCTGCGTCTAGACTGGCATGATTTTGCAGAAATACTTTTAATGGAAAAGTTTTTCCGTTAAAAGTGTTTCCGCAAAAGTGCGTCTAGATTGGCAAGTGCCTTTGCGCAAAAGATTTGCTTTTGCGCAAAAGCGTCCATGGCCAGTCTAGATGCGATTTTGCGCAAGAAAGCCCCGATCGCCATTTTAGCCATCGGGGCTTTTTTTGCACAAAACAATTCTTCCCTGTCTACACTGGCCCTCTTGAGCAAGTATTCTTGTGCAAAAGGGCTTTTTCCCGAGCGGGAGCGGGAAAGTATTTGCGGAAGAAGCACTGATTTTGTACATTACAAAGTCAGCGCTCTTGCGCAAATTCAAGCAGCCAGTGTAGACAGCTGGCAAGCTTTTGCGCAAAAGCAACTGCTTTTGCGCAAAATCTTGCCAGTCTAGATGCACCCATATTGTTCTAAGGGACATTACCTTTCTCCTTCAAGGCTAGTCTTCCCAATGCCCCTGAACATCTGGATCTTTTTTCCCTTAATATGTATGGTACAAAATATCCCTGTTTGTTTTGAAGGGTATAGGAACATATGAAACTTTTTAGACCAATTAAAACTGACTCAGCAGTTCTGAAATCCTTAAGGGAAGCAATCCAGGTTTGGTCAACTGACACCCTGTTTAACAGAATTTTATAGTGGTGTGCATTGGTTTTCTCAAACATTTTATTCTTTTAAAGCTAATATTATGACATAATTTTAGTGTACAGGCAGTCCCCGGGTTACATGGATCCGACTTGCATCGGATCCCTACTTACAAACGGGGTGAGGCAACCCCACACTAGCTGCTTCCCCCCAGCAGACCAGGGAGACGTGAAGCTAGCGCCCCCCCCAGCAGACCAGGGAGACACGGAGCAGCTTTTCTCAGCAGACACCTCAGCTTGAGAATAAAGGACTGAGGGAAGTGAGGTGTGGGAGAATAAAACTGAGCTCTGGAGAAATGTTTGGCTAGAGTTTCCCCTACAATATGTACCAGTTCCGACTTACATACCAATTCAACTTAAGAACAAACCTACAGTCCCTATCTTGTACATAACCTGGGGACTGCCTGTATTCAGTAGCTATATTTGATCCTGATAATACCATATTTTGCAGGGTACAAAAATCTTCCTTCATCCTAAACAATGGATTTTTTTTGTCTGAGAATTCTTTTGAGAAAATCAGATTAACTTCTAGTAAATTCCAAATCCTCTGTCTCCTGACAGGGCCGTGGATTTCTATATATATGTTTAGATGTGCTCAATGGCTACTAGTAAAATCAATAAGAACTGAATGTGAATATCGTAAAGATGAGTTTGGCGTTTTCTGATATTTACACCTTTCCTTAGTACAAAGTATTTCCTTAGGTTTATTAAGTGTTGGCTTGTATATTACCTTAAAGTTATTTATTGTTTTTCATGTATTTTTATTATTATTAGGACTATTGATTAATTGCAGTTAACGCATGTGATTATCTCAAAAAATGATTGATTAATCACATTTCTAAACAATAGAATTCCAATTGAAATGTATTAAATATTTTGGATAAACAATATACAGCTTTTTAGCACAAGGAGTAAGCTCTATGACCAACAAGTTTGTTTACATTTACAGGCAATGACCTTGCTTCTTAGGCTTTGTCTATACTGCCAATTGAATGACAAAATATTTGTCATTCACAGATACTTAACCACCCCACTTCCCCATAACAAAAATTTTGCTAAAGCCAAGTGGCAGTGTAAACAGCTCATTGTCCCCAGGAGCATTTTCCTGTTGATAAAGCAAACCCCGCTTTTAGAGGGTGGAAGTATTTTGTGCACAAAAGATTTACGCTGCTTAACTTTTAGTGACACAGCCATTACAATGTCACCTGAGAGTGCCAACGGGTGTTTCTATGGCACTTATGTAGCCAGTGTTACAACGTCTTTACATGCCAAATACGTTAAACGGTCATATGGCTCTTCATGATTTGGTTTGGCCACCATTCCAGAGGACATGATTCCATGCTGATGATGCTCATTAAAAAATGCATTAATTAAATTTTGTGACTGGACTCATTGGGGGAGAACTCTGTCACTTGTTCTCTTTTACCCACACTGCCATATATTTCATGTTATAACATTCTCAGATGATGACCCGGCACATGTTTGTTTTAAGAACACTTTGATAGCAGGCTTGACAAAGCACAAAGAAGGTACCAAGGTGAGATTTCTAAAAATAGCTACAGCACTTGACCCAAGGTTTAAGAATCTGAAGTTCTGTCCAAAACCTGAGATGGATGAGGTATAGAGCATGCTTTCAGAAGTCTTAAAAGAACAATTCATTGTGGAAATTACAGAACCCAATCCATCAAAAATAAAGAGTAACTTTCTGTTGGTGGCGTCTGTCTCAGATGCTGAAAATGAACATGTGTTGTCCAATCTGCTTTGGACCATGATTGATCAGAACCCATCATAAGTATGGATGCATATGCTTTGGAATAGAGGTTGAAGCATGAAGGGACACGTGGATCCAGGGCCAGATTAAGACTTTTAGAGGCCCTAAGCCCTGCCCCCCAAATGTAATTCAGAATAAAAACAATACTATACCATAAAATAAAATTGTATTTTTTGAAATGACACAAAACTGACATGTCTTCTGAAATTAAATTAGCTTCTTTCTAGATTTTCTGATTGCAAAATTCTGGATACGTTCATTGAAGCTTACTTGACGAAGCACGTCCGCTTCCATACACAATAGGGAAAGTGAATCGAGTCTGTCCTGACACATTGTTGTTCTCTGAGTGTTCTGCAGAGTTCTGTTCAATTTTTTTTTTTTTTTTGTTTTTTTTTTGGTGCCCCTGCTTTGCTGGTGCCCTAAGCATGTGCTTAGTCTGCTTATCGGCTAATCCAACCCTGCGTGGATCTGTAGTGCATCTGACACATAAATATCTTGTGACACTAGCTACAACAGTGCCATACAAATGCCTGTTTTCACTTTCAGTTGAAATTATAAACAAGAAGCCGGCAGCACTCAAACTGCAATCAAACTTATTTGTCCTAGTGATTGGCTGAACAAGAAGTAGGATGAAGTGGACTTGAAGGCCCTGAAGTTTTACATATTTTATTTTTGAATGCAGTTTTTTGTACATAATTCTACATTTGAGTATTCACAATAAAGAAGTTGCACTGTAGTATGTGTATTAGATGGATAGAAAAATATAGTGCAAATATTTGTAATAAAAATAAATATAAAGTGAGCACTGTAAACTTCACATTCTGTTGTGTTGTAATTGAAATTATTTGAAAATGTAGAAAATATCCAAAAAATTAAATAAATGGCATTCTGTTTAAGAGCATGATTAATCATGATTCATTTATTATTTTTAATTGCTTGACTGTCCTAATAATTATATTACATCAGTCTTTTCATGATCCACCTTTGTCTTTTTATCTGCGCAGATAAACATGAAAGACCATAGACATGCTAAGTATGTTGAAAATCATATTTCAGCTAATGATATGAGGGCGTTTGTTTTTGAAAGTCAAGAGGACATGGAAATATTTCTTCGGGAGGCAAGTATTCAGTCATATAATATGTTTAAAATGTAGTTTAGAATAAAGAATATTGATGTAGGAGCCCTACAATTTAGGGCCTACCTATTAGGACCACTAAATAATTTCTTTATTATGTAATACTTTCGCTAGGTACGATAATTTTTAAATAAACTATTTATACTACAGACTCCTACCTGATTGTTCTCTTGTATAATTTAAATAAAAGAGCAAGATTTCTCAAAATCCATAGGGCAGGATATTTTGGTCTTGCATTCCTGTGTATCTGACTAACACCAGCTACTTGGATGGGATAGTGAGCTCTGAATTTGACTGTCAAAATCTGTCATTGATTTGACTAATGTGGTTTCTG